AAACATATATATATATATATATATATATATATATATATATATATATACACATATACACAAATAACATTAAATTAACACTGGTTCTGTTACAGATTGCAGTCATTTTTTTTTTTTTTTTTTAAGGGTAAAAGCAACAGTATTTAGCACTCTTAAGACCCGTTCACACCAAGAACGATAACTATAAAGATAAAGATATTAGCATCCACACCAGTGAACGATATCGTCTGTTTATTCTAAGCGCCCATGCATCCGCCGCTTTAAATTCTCAAGCTCGTTACAGCAGGATGGATTCTGATTGGCTGTCAATTTTTTTATCATTCATCAGCTGGAGAAAAATAGTTTTGAAAGTGATTCCAACGATACCCGTTTCTCTTTGTCTTTATCGTTATAGATGTGGTGTGGACTCTGCTATTCTTTATTATTGAGAACGATTTTTTAGAACTATATCTTTATCGTTATCGTTCTTGGTGTGAATGGGGCTTTAAACATGACTGAAGGCCTTTTTCTACTGTAGGCGTGAACAAAAAAAATTATGAACCAAAATAGGACAAAAAATGTTCTAAGATTAGTCTGTATGTACCTCATCGGACATCAGAGTAGCAATTGCTCTACCAATTTCATGGTATGACTTGGCTTTGCCTTTGGGTCCAAGAAGAATGAACAGAAATCTAGGAAAGATAATAACAAAATACTACCTAAAGTAAAACACACAGCTTTTCTATTGGTTTAATAAAAGCCTGTTTTGAACTGAACACCCTCCACCACTGCTATATTTTCCTCCTTGGCTTTGTGGGATAAAAGCAGGTCATACCTGGTGGGCACAGGCACTTCAGTCAGCGCCCCCAACATGACAGCTTGCTGCAGCCTCACAAAGGCCACAAAAGGACTGTCCAGGAAGTCCACTTCTCCAACGAGAACATTGGAAGCTTCAGCATCTCTGGGCAGCTTCTTCATGAACTTGTTCTTCAGCTGAACACATGCAGGATGGGATTTTAATGAAATTCAGTAAGGAGGAAGAACCGAGTAAACAAAGTGCACAAATCAAGCTCCAACACATGACCTCATTAAACATACTGCCCAGTTGGCATTCTGTGCCAAGACTTTCATGAACATGTGATGAATCCAACAACAGCAACTGTCCAACTAATGGAAATTACAAAGATTGGTGGCTGCACGTGGGATTGTTCATTCTAGGGTTCAGCAAGGGCCCACTGTGACTCCTGCATTCTTTTACTCTTAATTCAGAGGAACCAGTGGTAACCAGTATAAGAACTGTTAAATTAATTTTATTTATATGGGTTGTTGTCGTTCCTACCAGTGATAAAATGAAGGCCAAACTCTAAGGCAGTGGCATTTGCCAGCTCAGACTTTGAGGTCATGCCAAATGTGAAATTTACAAGCCAAAGATAATTAGTACACCCTGCACACATAACCATAAATTGTTAAGCAACTCCAACTTGTGCCTCCAAGGTCATCATTGCGAATTTTAACAGCTAAAAGTATCACAATTACTCAAGCTTGTTGCATATATAAAGTGCTTTTAGGTTTATTACTTGCAATAATGCAAACATTTACTATTCTTTAACAGTAAGACTAGCGCACAAGACAGAAATCTAATTCTAAAGCTCATAAATCAAATTTGACAGCTCTGCTGTCAACTTGAAAATGGGGTTACAATATCAATCATTAATAAACCAATTCCCCAGTATACTTCCCAAATATAAACAATAACATGAAAGTCTTATTGAACAGTAAGAGTAAGCAGTTTCGTTAACCATTGACGGAAGAACACTGGAAACGCAAGCACAATGGAAAACATTTAACCTGGAGCACCTGAGCACATGATGGGACAGACCTCTCACTCATCAACAGCACTAGCATCATAGATCATTTGTTTTGAAGCTCTTGCTTTTATTCCATTATACTGTTGCAAAACTATCGTATTACTGATTATCACTGAATTACTGTCGTGAGATGAAATAAGCACATATCCTGACGCATTAACATGTGTATTAATGTAATGAATGGGATAACCTTGTGTCTTGCTTTAGAAAAGGTTACTTATATAAACTTGATATGTTTTGTCAATTCAGAAAGTTTTTACGACTTCTCAAAAAACCTTGATGACTCCTTTTTTATGAAATATGTAGACACTGTTTAAAAAAGATAATATTTTATTTGTACATGATGCTTTGAAATCTGTTATGCTTATTTTCCCCCTTGTTTTCTTATGATTTGGTTGCATAAAAAAAAAAATGCCACTATCATTAAATCTACTCTATCCCCCGATATAAAGAGATAGTTCACAAAAAAAAAATTTTTTTTTTTACATTTTGTTGAAAATAATGAGTTAAAGACACATGATCTAATTTCATGATACTTTTTAGTGATTTTAAAGACTCCTATTTGACCAATATGACCATCCCTACTTTGTGGGAAAAACTTTATAAACACTGAATTCAACTCATTCTGATACCATAGAGTGACAAAAAAGATCATGGCTAAATGAAACTAAAGCAAGTGAAGAAGTGGTGGCTATAGAGGGGAGTGATATCACTGATGTTAACTGGAGGCCAGATTGTAGACAGCATTAATAGAGGAGCGTAAAGAGATGATTAAGGTATTAGAAGGACACACCTTAAACAACCCATAGTGTTTTTCTCAGACTTGTATGAATGTTTACCTCTGAGCTTCATTATCTAGGAGTCAAAAAAGGGTCATCAGACGGTTATTATGTTCCATCAGTTAATTCATTTCAGCAGCACAGTATGCTGAATACAACAGCATGCAAAGCATTTTTTACAACGTACAGTATGTGTTCCAATTTTATTACAGGCAACTTCTGACCTAATAATATATCACACACTCCAAGCAACTCGCATTAACATCAAATATCCCATCTCTAGCTCTCCAGCTCTCTAGCAGATAGTATGTGATGTGGAAAGGCTAAGCATCATCTCTGATACTGGATTACTACCACCGCATCAACAGGGTCTGATAGCCTGCATTTTGTGTAGTCAAGCCATGGAACAGATGACTTCCTGTTGCAGCTAATGAGAATCGAGCACTGTCAACTGAAATCTCAGTAAATATCTTTAAATAAATGCTTTACAATTGAGAGGGTTGCTGTTTTCTTCATACTGTATTTGTCTTGTTCCCAATAAAATCATTTTTGTCAAGGCTTGAATTCATGGTACTGCCTTAAGTGGGTGCTATTTCAAAAGAAAATTCAATTAATTGAGTAAGTTATTAAGCTAAATTCACAACAGCAATTTACTACATGTTACTTAGGTTACCGTTCATTTCCAGATTCTGTGAATGTCTAATTTCAGGAAGCAGGAATGACATCATCCAAAAAACAAAAAAAGTGTGACAAGCCATGAGGCTTTCACAGTACATGACACAAACCCAGCCATCCCTCAATCTGCGCTTATAATCACAATCTGTCCATGTCTCTGGGCCACCTCACACAAGCAGTCTCTCAATCCCCCACTCAGCCAAAAGGGGCAAGGGGCATCTCCTCCGAGTCTGTCAACAGCGGAGGCCTTCCAGCAATCACATCCACACTGGTTTATTCAGCACACAGCACACACACAAGAACACTGTCAAACATTTGCCAGCTATTTCACTTAATGCTGCATTCAGCAAGAAGGGATGCATTCCCACGTAAAAAGGAAAGATACTACAATTCCTCTGAGGTGAACTTCTGTGAAGTGAGTTAATTTTTATGGTTTGTCACAGATTGACACCACCCTAATGACCTCCTGGTGCTCTGTCAATGAGAGCCCAAGAACTTCCCATTAGGAATGGAAGTCTGTATTTCACACTAGCCCTATCCTTGTGCTTCTGTTCTGTTCATCTAAGCGCAATGTCCTATTTTATCATTAGGAAAACATTGGCTTCAACAGTCTTGTCATAGTGACATTGACTGTGATGTGCACAGATTTTTGGCAATCCAAATTACAGTCAATTACAGATGCTTTTATATTTTTACATGTATACACGTTTTTAATATTTGATTATTAATAACATGTTATATTGCATTCCAGAGGTTGGGGTTGGACATTTTTTAAATGTTTTTGAAAGAGGTCTCAAGCTCAACAAAGCTGCATTTATTTAATTATAGTAAAAATAGGAATACTGTGAAATATGGTTAGAATTTAAATAAATATTTAAAATTTTAATATATGTGACCCTGGACCACAAAACCAGTCATAAGGGTCAATTTTCTGAAATTGAGATTTATGCATCATCTGAAAGCGGATAGGACAATATTTGGTCCAGATACAAGTATTTAAAAATCTGGAATCTGAGGGTGCAAAAAAATCAAAATATTGAGAAAATCGCCTTTAAAGTTGTCCAAATGAAGTTCTTAGAAATGCATATTACTAATAAAAAAATATTGGATGATTGATGGAACATCAGGGATGATGATCTTTATTCAATATTCTAATGATTTTTGGCAAAAAAGAAAATCTATAAGTTTGACATGTATTGTTGGCTACAAATATACCTGTGCAACTCATGACTGGTTTTGTGCTCCAGGGTCACATATGTTAAAATGTCATTTATTCCTGTGATAGCAAAGCTAAATTTTCAGCATCATTACTCCAGGCATTAGTGTTACATGATCCTTCAGAAATCACTCTAATATGCTGATTTGGTGTTTGGTAATACTATTATCACCACTGAAAACAATCTAATATTACAGTTTACTGTTTATTATTATTATGCTGCATAAAAGTTACAAAAAAAATATTCCTGGCCCCAAACACACACAAACACATGAACAATCTTAAAACTGGACTCACTTGATCTTTCTCTGGCTTGTCTGAGATATCGTTCAGGCTGCTTGATGTCAAGTTGCGATGTGTGGTGGTTGGACTACCTAATCAAAATTAATGAAAATAACAGATCAATGAAAAAGACACAAATTGAAAAGGGCACTGTTCCATTATTTTTAACACAAAGTTTAAAAAAAATAGTCTACAAAGTAATCCAAATGCAGGATAAGCAAGAGAACTGAATGTCAGATGAACCATTGGGGAATCAGTGGAACTGACAACAATGCACAGAACAATAATATTTTTCACAGTCTCTAAATTGCTTGAGTCCATGCTTTTAAAAGTAAAAAAACTTAAATTAGGAAAGGTGATGTGCCGGGCAAGAAAGGAACCTACTGAAAGGTTAACTATTAACCTTGCAGAGTCCAAGTCATTGTCATCATTGCTGTGAACAGCATAGCAGGAGAACAGCACAGTGAAGCAAAGTATTCCCAATGCCACAGACTTATATTGACTAAGATGTCAGTTTGATGCAGCCAAAAGAAGAAAAAAAGCAGCCAAAAGAAGAAAAAGTGAGGCTGAATATAGATGAGGGAGGTTTAAAAAAAGAAGTTTCATTTATGAAGCACTTAAAAAGAAAGAAAAAAAAAAGAGTAGTAACTTGAAAAAATACTTCACATCCACCTTCAGAAATCCTACATTATCAGATCAGAGCTGCTCATTAATATGGTTATGGTCATGATGATACGGTGATCTCCAGTGGAAAGTTCCACAGAAATTAGTCCAATGTGATTATTAGAATACTTTGGAATTTAAATCTATTAAGGGTGAAGATCACCATAACGGGAAATTCTAGATATGAAAATCTATTACATAACAATGACTACAGGACTGACTAGCTAAACATAGATGGTCACAACAACAAATAAAAAAGGTCATATCACTCAATCTAAAAATAGGTTCTTTATTGGCATCAATGGTTCCATGAAAAACCTTTAACATCCATGTAACCTTTTCATTGCACAAAAGATTCTTTATAGTGGAAAAAGTTTCAGATTATTATTACTTATTATTATTATTATTATTCAGATCAGATTATAATTCAGATTATTAAAACATTCTTTACACTATGTAAACTGTTCACTTAAAAGTTCTTTGTGGAACCAGAAACGAACTATCTGTGCATCGCAGCAAAAGCTTCCTTTGAAACCCTTATTTTTAAGAATGTACATTTTGTATGATTTCATTTGTCCCTAAGGTGTTATTTAGTTATTCAATTAACTCTTTAAATGGTCTAAGAAGATTTGGTTCCTCATGAGATATGACCCTTTGAAGCTACAATGCTATGCTATTCTCACAGCTACTGTATGTTACACACTACGTGGGGTGAAGGGACACATACACATGTAATGGCAACTGGTAAGTTGGACTTACTAGGCCATCCCATGCTTGGACTTCCAGGGGCTCGCAACACCTCCTCTGAGTTGCGAGTCATTAGACAAGGCACTGAAGTCTCAAGTGGATTACGTGCTTTTAGTGACAAGTGCAGCAGAAAGGATAAAAGATGGTAAGAAGGGTGAAAAGATAAGATTGTTAAGGTGATAGAGGTCAGTGGTTTTGTAAAAGCTTGTGTGAGACTGGTGTAAAATCACTCAGGAAAAGATAGGATTTGTTATAGAGGTAGAAAAGCACAGTTAAAGCAAGTTTTTTTTTTCAGGAAACAAAGGTTGTGGTGAATAACATTTATGTCACATTCAAAAAGTCCAACGGTCAACAAATCACAGGATTCATGGTTTAAAACCTGTGCACATGCAGCCTATAAAAGCTGGAAAAATGCTGGCATGATCTTTGTGTAAAGTTTTATCAATGCACTATTTGTCTTAACTGAAGGCCTGTAAATATCATTGCCAAAAATCAAATGATCCTTTTGACCATTGCTTTATTTGAAGTGTTGTCTGTGTTGTCTTTTAAACACCGCTCTAAGATTAGTTTATTAGTTCGCCAGTTCATAACAGTTCACAATCTCAACAATGTAATGCAACAGCCTATTCTGTGCATCACTGAAAAATATATGCATACAGATTCAGGACAGACTAAAAATCAAGGACTGAAAAGAAACAAGTTAATATTTAAAGACCCCATGAACTCTTTTAGTGTCTTCTAGCTCTCCCTATATGCTTGTGTACTCCTAAAAATTGCCTAAATTAGCATTTAACGGATTTTGATTACACAGAGTTTTGACTCTCTGGAATGAGAATGTTCCTCCCCTTAATATGACCTGTAACTGCCTAAAAAGCAAGCACTTTGCTAAAAGCAAGCAGCAAATCATGATCATGGCTGTGATGTAATTAAAGCTTAATGATTATTTAATCCCTTTGATATGTCACACACAAACCTAATGTTGTAAGAGAAAATACAGTACTGTTTAAAAGTTTGGGCTCAGTAAGATTCTTTATGTTTTTGAAAGAAGTCTCTTCTCACCAAGGCTGCATTTATTTATTCGAAAATACAGTAAGAATACAGCAGTATTGTGAAACAGCCTCGTCTTCAGCATCACATGATTCTTCAGAAATCATTCTAATATGCAAATTTGGTGCTCAAGAAACATTTATTATATATCATCAAAGTTGAAAACAGTTGAAAACAGTGCTGCTTAATATCAGAAACCATGATACATTCTTTCAGGATTCTATCATGAATAGAAAGTTAAAAAGAATAGAATTTATTAGAAATAGATGCATTATAAATGTTTTCCTGTCACTTTTGATCAATTAAATGTGTCCTTGGTGAATAACCAAGACAAAGCAAAAAAAATTTAAACTAATTAAACAGTAGTGTCAACACAAAAGAAGGTGCTTGTGAAGTGATTTCATGGAGTCTTTAAAACATACAAAGACAACTACTTATAAAAAAGGAAAAATATAAAAAGGCTTCATCTATGCTGAGTCAACAATGAGTCAGCAAATTGGTAAAACATTAGTAAAACAATTATTGTGATCTGTGTGACTAATGCATTTAAATATGAAAAAATGTAAAGATAAGGACGTAAATCTCCTGAATAAAATTTGAGGAGTAAAATAAAAAATATTTGGTATTCTTCAGTTATCTTTAAGAATAACACAAGAAAATTCTAAACACAAAATCAATAAAGGTAAAAGAATTAGAACAAATTATATTTTTGAAAAGTGTGGAAAAAAACAATCCACAAAATATTTCATAAAACTGAAGAAGAAACATCTTAATATAAAAATCTATCAAATATAGCAATGATAATATAAAAAATCTTTATAGCTTAAAAGGAAAAAGGAGGGTAAAAAAAATAACTGCACCAAACTGGCACCTATATTACCATTATCCGGGGTGGAAAACAGCCTACTTGCGCTGGAGACCGTCTTGCCAATGTCAGCTAAGGAGCGAAGATTGGATTTCTTGGTCTGGTGGCGATGCTTCCTCAGCAAGGTGTACATTACCTTATCTTTCAGGTCAGCTTTCAAGAGACCGTTCTCAATCTGACTGTCAGTGATCATTTCTGAAAGAGAGAGACAGAGTGAATGCTAAACAGAGAGAGGTAGACAGCGAGAAAGCAAAATAAGAGGGTCAAAGACACGAGGCCTGGGCCCTTGGGCTCTATTTGTGAATGGTTCGGCTCTTAATGGCCGATCCTTCAAATCATTTTTATCTCAAAAGGCACACTATGAGGTTGACCGAGCTTAACTCGGCCAAACTTAAGATTTGCTTTAAACTGATAATATGACTTGACACATCATGCTCTGAGTAAGAGATATGGCTGGGGATTCAAGATTCATTGATTGGTGGCAGTGGTTATAATCTCACCAGCCATCTTTAAATCCAGAGAGCTGCAGTAAATGTCTCTTTTTTTTTTTTTTTTTTACCAATCCTCCTTCCTAAAAGGAAGCTTTTACAAAATAATCACAAGAATCACATACTTTGCTATCAGTGCACTACAGTTATTTAACGGCCACACAATTTCCATTCTGATCTTCCTCATGCACTGCCTGAATTCGGTATAAAAGAAATGGCCATCCTGAATGGATGCAATCACCCGTGCATCTGAGCCCAGAGTTACAGCGAGGGTTGAGAGAGGAGTGTATTAAACAGAGCTATGAATACATCCTGACATGTGAGCATTTGGAAACCAAATAAAAATGGGCTGTGCTGGCCGAGACCATGCATGCATATCACACGTGCTATCTCTTAGACCTTACAGTAACGGTACATTTGGAAAAGCTTTTTCTCTTAGTCTGATCTGCTCTAAAGTGTTATCTTTATGATATTTATTTTGCCCATTGTCTACTGACAGTGTGCCAGTGCTGGTGGTAGAGCTGATGCCCTACATGAAAGCATTCTGTATGCTTCTATTACAGAAAAGGCAGCTCCATGACAGAAAAAAATGGCTCGTTCAAAACCATGACTGATGTAAAATGAACATTGCATAAATCTTGTTTCATCCATTTGACCGATATCCTGTCCATACAAACAGTTTGTCAAATTGCACAGCAACACTTTATTGCCATCATGCATCTAATAAAAATGACAATACTCACAAATATCGTGTTAACGTATTGCTATACATTTTTTTAAAATAATTTTTGGCCTTTGCATCAAAAGCGATGAGGGCTGTGGGTCAAATGTAAATGTTGCATTTTGTGTGTGTGTGTGTGTGTGTGTGTGTGTGTGTTTGTATATATATATATTAAATTAACAAAACAATTTAAATACTTATGTTTAAATAATATGACCTTTTTAAATATTTTTTTAAAACAAATTCACTTAGATTGTTTTTTAAACCTCAATGCAAAAAATATTAATAAATAAAAGTTTAAAAGAAAAAAATAACTAAAATTGAACATATGCTTAAATGGCATGTTTCCCCCCCTATTTTGTTCCCCATCTCTTGTGATATGGCACATTCAAATATTAAAATAAGTCAATCTAGGAAAAAAAGTTATATAAAATAATTGTTTTTAAAACTTGTAACCTTCCCTGTTGAAAAAAAACAGCATATGCTGGTTAGGTATGTTTTGAAGCATGGCAGCTGGTTTAAGTTCCTTAGTTGGTCATGTGTTGGTTTAAGCTGGTCCTGAGCTGGTTATAATCTGGTTGTGAGCTGGTCCTAAGCCGGTCCTAATCAACTAGCTTCTGCTCAGGACCAGCTCATAACCAACTTATAACTAGCTCAGGACCAGCTCAAACCAGCTGTCATGTTTCAAAACATACCTAACCAGCATATGCTGTTTTGTTTTCAACAGGGTTGATATTGACTGCAACATGCTGTTTATATTAAAGACAAATTATATCATCGTTTGGCTCTCAAATCAGTATAAACGTGGACCACTGAGTTCATAGATCCCTCTGTTGAGCATCAACACTATTTCAATGAAAAAAGGTATTTGAGTGATTTATGTTTGTAACCAAAACTGCTTAAAGGTAGTAGAGCATCCTTTAATAAGACAAAATAGCTGCAGAAGAAACACTTACCAACGACCCCTGGCAGTGTGTTGGCCTCTAGGTCCAGCATGATGGTGCCCTTCTCTATACACGTCCTAAGCTCAAAGAGACTATGTAGGGACAGAGTGGCCACATGTGGTTTACTCCACCGCTCCCCACCTTTTTCCACCTTCTCTTCAAACTTGATCCACCTTCGAAGAAAAAACAACAGACATTTGAAGATACTGAAGTTGGAATGTGAACAGTTCTGTATGAAAGCGCAACTGCAAGTCAAATGAACACTGATTTATTGATTGTGGTACTCAAGAAACATTTCTTGTTATCTGTAACAATGAAAATGTATTTGAATTTCCCTTTTGATCATTGTCATATGTCCCTGCTGAAAAATTGTATAATTTTTTTAAGGAAAAAAAACCTTACTGACCCATAACTTTTTAACGGTAGTGTAACTCCACTATATATATTCTTAAATCTACCATATCAGAAACAAATACCAGTCCCAGCCCTCATATTCATCTTTCCCCTGTACAACTCTGTTTATTAAAGGAACATCGTGTTCTAAGACCGACAGAAAATGAAATGAAAAGTTGCGATTTTCTAGGCCGATGTGGCTAGGAACTATACTCTCATTCCGGCCTAGAAAATCACAATTTTTAATTTTCCGTCGGCATGTAACTACAGAAGAGTCAAGTTTTAAATAAGAAAAATATTGAAACTCTTTGGTCATTTTTGAGAGAGATGCTAACGGTCTAATCAGATTCAATGATCTATGCTAAGCTGCAGCTAAAAGTGCTACCGCCAGACCCGGAGATCGGCTGAATGCATTCGAAAACGGTAAAACTCGACTGTTTAACTCTAGGGGAGTTGGAAAATGAGCCTATTTTCAAAAATAGTGGAGTGTTCCTTTAAAACTGATGACTCTGCTTGAAAAGCTTTAATATGTAATCCTTAATCCTAAAATACACAAACAAGGGGTAATCTTATCTCTAAAACAATCTCTCAAATAAAATCTTGATTGGAAATGAAAAGATCAGCAGTAATCATCCTTGTACTTATTTAATCTGTTAAATGCCCGCTGATTGGGGACCACCTGGAGTGCCACTTAACTTTACATGAAACTGCCCCTCTCATTGAATGATCAAATCCTTTCAAGAGCAGCACAGCTCCAGAACTGATGTGTGCTGCATGCAAGACTCGTTTTTTATCAGAGACCAAGCTGTCTGCTCAAATGAACTCACGATCACAGGAATTTAAAGCAACAGTTCCTGTTCAATGATCGGATGTGCCTTTAATGGATAAACAAGTCAACTGGAAACATATGCGCATTTTCAACTTTCTTCACACATTTCTCTAAAGATGAATCGGGTTGGATTCATCCCTTTAGACACTGTCAAGTGTTTAAAATGTCTTTGCATACTGGCACCAAGCAGTCACTGGCAATGAGCCAGTACACTTGAATCTTCTTTTGATGAATTGTATGGTGCCTGTGTAACAAGTATAAAAGAGTCATTAAAACGGTCTTTTTTAAAAACAGAACGATTTGGAGGAATTAAATAATATAACTAACTTTAATATAACTGCTTTTTATTTTAATGTCTTTTAACATGTAATTTATTCCTGTGATGGCAAAGCTGATTTTTTTTTAGCAGTCATTACTCCAGTCTTCAGTGTCACATGATCCTTCTGAAATCATTCTAATATGCTGATTTGCTGTGATACAATTTCTTATTTTTTTGCAATTTTTTTCTTTGATGAATATAAAGTAGAAAAGAACGACACTGACAAATTAAAACACAATTTGGGCAAAACCAGAGATAAAATAATACTATTAGACACAAGTTATCAAGCTTTTTTTCAAAACCTAGTTCCTGCTAATAATACAGGCTCTTATATTTCTGGTCTGTTTTTGAGCCTCATTTAAAGTTCCAACCAAGCCATGACGCTCTTACCTGGCAGTTTCCTTCCACTCCATCTCCTGGCCATCAACAGACAGTAGCTCGTCCAGCTCTGTGAAGAGCTGAGGGGGTGCTGGACTGTCATCGTCCTCTCCCAGAATGAATCGAATGCGCTCAGCAGCAGGTGAGACTGCAACAGGAAAAATACTGCGGGTCAGAGGAGAAGGTACAGTCATGCATACTTCCGGCTTGCCATCATCACTTATTCCATTAGGCCTGATCTCCAGCTCTGGCGGAGGAGGAATCTTGACCACAGACAGGTCTGAATCTGGGTCCACATCCTGCTTGGAGTCAGACTCAATCTTCTCCTCCTCTCCAACCTCACTCTTCTCCACATTATTGTTCTCGGTCGTGTTCTCCGGGTTGCTATCTGATGCATCCATCCTAAAACCCAGTTAAAAAACAGTTCTGTTCCCCAGAGCACGATCAAAGCTGGTGAGGATGGCTGAGAGAGGGAGGGAGGTCAAAGACACGAGACCTCACACAGCCAGCTGCACTCAGACCGTCATTAGAGCCCTTCGTGTTGTCTGCTATCCTGTACACCCTACTCTAACACAGTGACACCTAGGTAGTTAAAAAAGGGGGTCCCCACTTGTCACCCCAGAGCAACAGCCCGCCCATCGGCTGCTCCGGCTGTACCCCCTCGCCATTGGCCCTCCGACATTGGCACCCTGCCCTGAGCCCCTCATTAACAATTAGGAAATGTTTCACAAACTGTTCATTCTTCACAAGAGGGCCTCGCTTTCCTTCTCGCTTGTTTTCTAATTTGAAAATGTATTAGTTCTTGTGGAACAAAGTAAACTGTAATGTTTCATCTAAATAAAGCCCCTCTCGTCTAACTCCCATATTAAAGTTCCATCATCAACACTCGCAAAATCTGGCAGTGAAATTCCCTGGAAAAAAGTAAATGTTATTTTTATATCAAATGAGTAATTTCTAGCTCACCTAAACCTAAAATGTACTTTTATTTGTGTAGAATAATGAATTCAAGTTGACTTAGTCATTTTAATATTGTTGTATAAAAAATATTGACTAAAAAATGTAAAACATTATGCATATAATCTACAGTAGATGAAGTGCATTTTAACATCACTCATTTTATAAGTACATACTTATAAAATGAGTTTATATATATATATATATAATGGAGAAAATGGAAAATTGCAATGGAAAAAAATGCTCACTATAGGCTAATAAACACTAGCAATTTGTGAAAAAACACTGAAATGTATATAATTTGCATAATTTAATCAACCAAAAGAGAACAGACTGGAACATTTGTGCATTTTTTTCAAAAAATTATTTAAGGTGAAACATCATGGTGACTATTTTTCACTATCTTTCACTATTATTCAGTAAATGTTCACTAAAGATCCAGAACATGGCAGCAAGATTAATTTTTAATGAGCCAAAAAAGAATGCATGTCACACCTCTGTTTATCAGTTTGCACTGGCTACCAATAGCTGTTCGCATAGAATTCAAGGCATTACTGTTTGCCTACAAAACCACCACTGGCTCTGCAACCCTTTACCTAAATTCATTACTTCAGACTTATGTGCCCTCTAGAAGCTTGCATTCTGCAAGTGAACGGTGCTTTATTGTGCCATCCCAAAGAAGCACAAAATCACTTTCACAGACTTTTACATTGAATGTTTCCTCCTGGTGGAATGACCTTCCCAACTCAATCCGAGCAGCTGAGTCCTTCGCCATCTTCAAGAATCGGCTAAAACACATCTCTTCCATCTTTATTTGACGCTCTAACGCTCTCTATTCTAATTCTATTCTTAAAAAAAAAAAACTTGTCCCTTTTAAGCCTGGCTCACACTGTGCGATTTTGGCCATGATTTGGTCATCTGAGACAAATTTTGCAAATCCTAAAATTCCTATAATCCTAGGCTAAAATCTGTTGTCTTTGATTGTTAGTTTGACATGTTCACCGACAGCCGATTAATGGCCGTTGCGATAAAATTTTACCTCCGACGAACTTCTGGCAGTGTCAGAAGATTTAGCGCAGAGTCCTGCAGTGACATCTCCTACGACGAACGTCAAACTGTCTTCGTTTTTGAAGACAAGCCATGATCAGAATTAATGCTAAAGATTTCTTCTAACCGCATAAACTCCGGCGCTCCCGTCCTCCACTCACGGAATTCATCTGATATGTTGCATTTGCTATGATAAACACCGGTTTGCGCTGCTGTTTTCATGTGGGTGTGTAGTGCTGCTTGCACTATTCTGCATAAATACGCCGGTATTGCCGCCCTTCATATACTTTTAATGATAGCCAACATTACATCCCTGCGTGCAATGCAGCTCGCAGTCACAGAACGTGTATGGGCTGATAAGGTAAAACTCTGAACAAGTTTTCTTGCGCACACCCGTTTTTAACGCATCTTGACTGTCGTACAGTCTGACATTAACTGACTTTTCTTTTTTTCCCTTTTTTTTTAACTAACACTAGCTTCTCCTAATCTTTTTGTATTCTATCTATTTGTTTTCTTTTTTATTTATTACACATTAACAAAAGCAAAAAATGGCCTCTAACACTAGCTTGCTCTATTCTTTTTCTATTCTATCTGTTTTCTTTTTATTTATTTTATAATAAAAAAAAACCTTGCTATGTGTACTGCGTCAAGCTAACTGAGACTTGTCATAGCACTTGTATATCATTGCTCTTTTGTTGATTTTGATTGCTTCCATTGTCCTCATTTGTAAGTCGCTTTGGATAAAAGTGTCTGCTAAATGACCAAATGTAAATGTAAATGTAAAGATTGGCCTAAGTTATGCCCTGTATGTAACACTCGGTGTGATTGAACTGTCGCATGGGCATTTCATATACAGTAATTAAAAGGCAGACAGACTGTCCTCTGAGTCAACTTCCATTGCTTGTGTCACTGGCTTGAGTTGACATTTTCTAATGTTGATAACATCAACATTAACATCATGGATACAATGCTGTTTGAGTAAATGAGTAATCTGATTGTACAGCTCTGTACTGAAACAGTCTGATTTCTGACTAAACCTCCAGAATGAATTACTATCCATAAAGCACTTGTGTTTCTTTGAAAAGATAATTAAACTACAGTATCTGATTGGATAAAAGGACTGCACATAACACTTGCTTTCCAAAGCCAGTATTTTCCTCAACTTTTACTACTGCTGCTGATATGGTAAAAGGCAGGTTAAAGATGTTATCAGCACCTGAAAAAGTGATAACAGAATGAGCAGAAATTTAAACTCTACTAGCTGTAAAACATCAGTAATTCCAACATTTACATAATAACATCATCTATGACACCATATTGCACACCATTATGTTGTTTACAGTTCAAAACATTGTAACTGAGACTATAAAAATCTGGAAAATAATATACAGAGATTTTGCCTTGATAGTGAGTTCCTCTTAACTTAACTGATGAATTCTAAGAACTCAAAGAAAGACTTTTTAAAAGACAAGAATTTAATACACACTTTTATTTAACAATAAAAGATGTAATGCACATTCTTGTATTTATGTTAATAACTTTCTTTTTTTTTAATATACACTACCATCCAAAAGTTTGGGGTCAGTAAGATTTTTTCAAAATAATTTAATTATTTTATTCAGCAAGGATGCATTAAATTGATTGTTTACCCAAAAATGAAAATTCAGTCATCATTTCTTCACCCAATAAGGTGAATACTCAAGCAAACAGTTGTTGTTCCCCATTGACTTCCACAGTATTTTTCCCATACTATGGAAATCAATGGGGACCAGCAGCTGTTTTTCATTTTTGAGTGGACTACCCCTTTAAATTCGTCAAAAGTGACAGTAAAAACATTTATAATGTTAAAAAAGATTTCCATTTTAAATAAATGCTGTTCTTTTTAACTTTCTATACATCAAATAAACCTGAAAAAAGCATCAAAATGTCCACAAAAATATTTAGCAGCACAACTTTTTCAACACTGATAACAATAATAGCTGTTTGAGCACCAAATCAGTATATTAGAATGATTTCTGAATACTGGAGTAATGGCTGCTAAAAAATTCCACTTTGCCAACACATGAATAAATTACAATTACATTATTAATTATTTTAAAATACATTAAAGTAGAAAACATTTTAAATTGTAATAATATTTTATAATATTACTGTTTTACTGTGGTTTTTATTTTTGATCAAATTAATACAGCCTTGGTGAGCATAAGAGACTTCTTTCAAAAAAATGTTTTCAATCTTACCGACCACACTGAACTTTTGAACGGTAGTGTACAAAACATACTGCTATATCAAGACTGATGAATTTTAATACACGATGTCCACTGTTTGTGTTAAACGATTAAGTAATAGTTGGAAAAATTAAATCTCAAAGTTCTAAGTATACATTTGTTGCTTTTTCGTTTAGAAATAATCAGACCAGGAATGACCAGGAAGTGCCTAGGCAGTACTGTTTTAACTCGTTTGGGCTAGTTCGTCGTCCCAACTCTGTTCTACAAAGTCCACACACAAAGTGACCCTGTGATGCATACAGACAACTCTGCTACGGATACCAAGAACTAAGCCTCAGTGGGCACTCGCTTCATGCTGTTGCTAAGCAGGGCCGGGACAGAAGGAACAAGTGAGGGAGGGAGAGAAAGAGGGTGAGTTCAATATGGGAGAGAGCGCAAAGGACAGATAGAAATGAAAATCGCATCGTTCAAACAACTTTCAAAGTTGTGGGCTCTCTTGCCAAGAGCTACGACCCACACAAAGGGGACTTTGTCCATGCACCAGGGTCTTATGGGAAAAGTGAGGGGGGAGGTATGCCCAGCGCCCAAAAAGGGACTTAGCTGAGCTGCCACTTCATGCTGGCGAGTCCCAGTCTCACTAGCAACACTGTGCAACATCCCACACGCAAGCAGCAGTATCCCAAACCACATTCTTCTCACTGCATCTGAGAGCAAGTATTCAATGACATTATTGCACCATGCACAGACCAGAAAAACAATCATTCTCAATGCTCACGGGTTTGTGAATTGTGGTGTTGAGGCAGTACAAGCTTCCCACGTCTGTCTGTAGAAGAATTAATGGCCTTCATAGCATTACAAGTCCTGTATGCTTGCAGACATAAATTAACTTGCGGTTCAAAAACAATCTTTCTGAATGCAC